ATCAGGAGTAGCTTAACATAAGGAAACCTGCACTTGTAGCCCATATGCAGGATTTCTCTCCAGCCTCAGCCCAGGCTTTGCGTCATCCTGCCTGCTTTTCTTGGTGGCTATTCCGTTCAGCGGGGAGTTAACCCAGGCCACCTCTGATGTTTGATTTTGTTCATCTGTTATACAGTTCTTAAGCTGAGAGAAAACTCGATAGTATATTAAACATTTTCCCCTCATAAAAAAGTATTTTAAGTGTTTGTTTCAGTCAATCTTAAATTAACCTGTTGATTTGTACAGTGCCTATTCACAACAGAAGTAAAAAGGTGCTGTACAAGTGTTAAATTTAAATTGTTCCTACCAGAATCAGCAGCCACCCCTTGTTTGGTTCTCATCTTAGATCTTTTGATAGGGCATGGGGATTGAGTCGCATAACTCTCAGCGTCATCTGGAAATGAAACCTTTACTTATTAAAACCATTCTGAACAATCACCTGCATTCCCAGAGACATTAATTACCCTCTTTTTTGTCACTCTCCTTGTTGCAAGGTTTAGTTGAACTTGGTCCTTCCATCAGTTCCCGTTCAGGTGACAGATCAAACTGTTCCCCATCTATTAAGGCCCATCCCCCACAAGCCTCTGCTGATGGTTTCCCAACGACCACCACTCCACCTTCCCCCACCCTCCTCCTTTCAGACGCCCTGTCTTCTCCTTACCACCTCATTCCACACCCACCTACTCCACCCTTCCCCCCTGCTCTGCATCGTGTCCTCCACAACCTGAGGACTTAGCCCCTCCCACAACTGTCACCTCTTCAGTGTCCCTCACACCTGACCTGGTTCGAAGACAACTGACCAGACTCCACACCGGCAAAGCTGCAGGCCCCGATGGTGTATTTCCTGGGGTGCTTAAAGCTTGTGCCGCCCAGCTGTGTGGAGTCCTTGGTCTGGTCTTCAGCCTGAGCCTTCGCCTCCAGAGAGTCCCCGTGCTGTGGAAGACGTCCTGCCTCGTTCCTGTACCTAAGACGCCGCGTCCTAACGGCCCTCAGGACTACAGGCCGGTGGCACTGACGTCCCACATCATGAAGACCTTCGAGAGGCTAGTTCTGGAGCAGCTAAGGCCTATGGTCAGGCCCTTCATGGATCCACTACAGTTCGCCTACCAGCCCCGCCTAGGAGTTGAGGACAGCATCATCTACCTGCTGAACAGAGTATACACTCATCTGGACAAGCCGGTGAGCACTGTGAGGATCATGTTCTTTGATTTCTCCAGTGCTTTCAACACCATCCGTCCGGCTCTACTGGGTGAGAAGATGACGGCGATGCAGGTGGATGCCCCCATCGTGTCCTGGATTGTTGACTATCTGACAGGCAGACCACAGTATGTACGCCTACAGAACTGTGTGTCTGACAGGGTGATCAGCAACACCGGGGCCCCTCAGGGGACTGTCCTCTCTCCATTCCTCTTCACCGTCTTCACCTCAGACTTCAGCCATTGCTCTGAGTCCTGCCATCTTCAGAAATTCTCTGATGACTCAGCAATAGTTGGCTGCATTGAAAGGGGAGATGAAGGTGAATATATGACTGTGGTGGACAACTTTGTCAATTGGAGTAAACTTAACCATCTGCAGCTCAATGTGACAAAGACAAAGGAGCTGATAGTGGATCTGAGGAGGGCCAAAACACCTGTGACCCCTGTTTCCATCCAGGGGGTCCCTGTAGACACTGTAGAGGAGTATAAGTACCTGGGGGTGTACTTAAATAATAATCTGGACTGGACAAGAAACACAGAGGCAGTCTACAAAAAGGGCCAAAGCCGACTCTTCTTCCTGAGGAGGCTGAGGTCGTTTAACATCTGTCAGACGATGCTGAGGATGTTTTATGAGTCTGTTGTGGCCAGTGCGATCTTCTTTGCTGTCACATGCTGGGGCAGTGGGCTGAGGATCGCAGACAGCAACAGACTAAATAAACTGATCAAGAAGGAGGGTGATGTTGTAGGGGAGGAGCTGGACACTCTGTCGACCGTGGCAGAGAGGAGGATGCTGTCCAGGCTTAAGTCTATCATGGACAATGTGTCTCACCCCCTCTACGACACACTGGCCCAACAGAGGAGCTCCTTCAGCAGAAGACTCCTCTCACCCAAATGCACCACAGAGCGCCACCGGAAATCCTTCTTGCCGGTGGTCATCAATCTGTACAATGCTTCCCTCTGAGAGTCAATGTTAATCATTGACACTATCCACCTCTCATTTTGACCTACATATACACATATTGTTTCTTATGTATATATCTAGCTATATTTATGAGGAATTTTGTATATATATATGTATATATGTATAGACATGTACATATGTATATGCCTTTGTTTTATTTTGCTTTGGAGCCTGTAACAAAAATAATTTCCCTCTGGGATTATTAAAGTATTTCTGATTCTGATTCTGATTAAAAGAGCTTAAATGAATACACATGAACCAGGATCAAACTTTGAAAACAAAATGTAACCTAAAGATTGAAAAATAAAAAACTTTCCCATCTTAGACAGCAGTTAATCAAATGAAATGGTTCAAGTACACATTACAGGCATAAATGAGATGTTCTAATCATATGCATTTCCTCAGCAATAGAGACTTGGCTCTAATCGTTTACATATATAGAAATTAAAATGTGGAAATTTCTTTGCATCAATTTCAGATTCTGGGCTGGGACCATCAATGCCTGGCCCCAGAGTTACACATGCAAGAGACCATTCTGGGCTGTATGGCCGAGTATGTCAGATCTGAACAATGTTAAAAGACCTTCAGTACAATCATGTTTTTAATTCTAAATTACAAAAAATCTGTCAGCTTCTTAAAGCTGTAGAATAAAGTAACATTTGTCTGATTCTCACAACCCCGAAAATGTGTGTTCTGTCAGAGTATTTGTCAAGCTTTAACAAACTTGACGCCACATAATTGACGGAGAGCAGGACGGTAAAATCACTGTTCAAGAAAGAAAGGCTTAATACAGTCCAAATCACTAATTGCTGCTCCTTTGCATGCAAGCAATCACTCCATTTTGGAAAGTGTGCCTTCACTTACCACCACCTTGATTTACATTTCTTAAGATAGTGTATTTTCTTTTCATGGACTTCCTTGACAAAGTTGGGAGTTGCACCTCTTCATCTAAGGAACATCATAATGTTTTAGTACAAAAGGTCAAAACTCAGCTTAATCACATTGATCACAAGTCTACAGGCATTTACCATCAGTATCACTGTCATCTGCGAAATCCTCAGAATCTTCAGTAGCTGCGGTCACTGTCCTTTTTTCAATCAGTCTCGTTGACTGAGTTGAGAGCATCTCCTTTCCATCTGGAAATATTACAATAACAGAACTTCAATCAGCTTACCATCAAATCCATGCCAGTGCCTAAATTGACCTCCTACAGAACTGTTCTCAATGCCTACATCAAGTGTTGTGGGGTTCCATCATTGACTGCCTTTTATTTGACACCTTTGTACTGACCAGGGTAGGCATAAACCAGTGTCACTTAAAAGTTCTTACAATAAGACAATTTTCAAGTGCAAACACATTTTAAGGACATGCCAAGACAACCAATATAGATTTTTAAAGTACCACTCACCCAAAATATTTTTGAAAATCAATAACCCTTTCAAAAGCAAACATGTGAGAAGCCTTACTTTCTTAGCCACAGTGAAGCAGTAAGACCTCTGACATTATACAAATCTACAGGTGGAGCTGGAAGATATGACTTATATTTGGCCTACATCTTGACATGTACTCATATTCATTACTCCTGAATTAATGTACCCGTGTCATTTTCTATATTTTTGTCCTCCAAATCCTACATTCAGTCCTGGTAGATGGCTGTTGTCACTGGTTCTGATAGTGTCTCCAGTGCTGCTACATGCTTAGTACAAGTGAATGCTGCAGTCAATTACTACATGCAATCTGCTGGCTGATCTCTTGTATTAAACCTCTTTGATAAACTAAATTTAACAGAACTTGATTTAGTGTTTGCCAACTATAACAATTAAAAAATTTAAAGGAATTTAGCACTATTGTCTTATGTTACATGGAACAAAGATATTTTTGGAATCAAAGTTTGCAGAGGTCAAAATTTTAGAAAGAAAGAAAGAAAAAAAAAACTTGAAATTGTTAACATTAAGACAATTTGTTGGAAACTACTTACCACCATCAATTAGTAGGCTTTGTTCTACAGCGGCTGACTTCCTTTTCAGTCCTCCAGTCTTTGAGTAAGATTCTTGCCCTTTAAGAAAAAAAAGAAAAAAGAAAAAAAACATTGTTAAGCCTTGTTCATTCATATGTTACACTCAGATTGCATTATTTCTCAAAGAAAGGGAGTTTTCACATCTGAACCAATTGGTTTGCATAAAACAAGTTCAACTTTAGTTTCCTGGGGGAAGTTGCCTCACATTAGGCAAGTGTTAAACATCAATAGATTGCTTTAATATAAAAACTGCTCTACTTCTCATGGGGAATTGTGAAATAGACTTGATCCAATTTCTCTCTTCTGAGGCCTTCCTCTTGTCATAAATTTGACAGTTTGCTTCCTGCGACCCTCAGCCATGTTCAAAAGATTTGGTGAGAGCAGCTTACTGGGTACATAAACACTACTAGTGTACATGCGGAGCAAGAACATGCATTAATAATGGCATTATGCGAGCACATCACAATAAATGTCATGTGGGATGACAAGATTATCCACTCCAGTACTTGTAGCCAAAAAAATACAAATATTGGTCTATACCTTTAAGCTAAAAATTTTGAGTATGCTTTGTCCAACTGAACCAAATTCCCCACACTATCATGGTGTCAAAATGTCCCAATTGAGAGAATATAGGGGGAAAAAAATACATACCCAAGACTACAGAGTCCAGAGTCTTGAAATCTTTTCCTTTAAGGGCCCCAGCACCACTCTCCAATGCAAACAGAAGTTTCCCAATTTTGGCAACCTGAAAGGTCTTAACGGTTTGGCGATAATAATCACAATGCACCCGTATGTCATGTCCCATGAAACGAGCCAGTTGTTCTAGTTCCTGGTTGTTAAGGTCAAGAAGCTGACACAGAGTAGCAACATGTTTTCTTAGTTTTGTTGAGCGAAGTAGTTCTGGATTGCTTGCCTTACTATCTTCAGCGAACTTCCTCAAACAATCACAGCCACGGATGTTGGTTGTCGTCCCAATTCTTGCAAACACGTATGGATTTTCATCAAGAACACCAACCTCACTTTGCATCTCAATAAGGAAATCAAGAGATGTTTTTGTGCGCTCTGTCAGGAGAATAGGCACTTTCCTTCCTCTCTTTCCACGAGTAACCACACGAGTAAGCCTATGACTCATTTGTTGTTCAACTGGTGAAAGAGTTTCATAAATGTCTTTGTTAACTGGGCCAGTGTCTGCTTTAATGTACGTTTCCATGGTCAACCGTGATGCTTCTCCTTCACGCTTCTTGTTAAAAACAATGACTTGTGCAAGAAGGCATTCACTCAATAGTTTGTACGCTGTAGTATTCGGATGCTTCTTCAGTTCCTCCTTTGCCTCATCCTCTACTTTTTGCAAATAGTTCTGCAGTGCAATAACATCCTCCGTCAGAGGAACACAGTCTTCTTTGTTCCACTTTCTTTGTTCTATTGTACTGTGTGCATTTATTGATACGTAACTTGACCAACTTGTATCAAGCAGCATCTTAAATTTTTTTGCCTTTTTTCCATCAAAACATCTGATGTCATCAAGCAGTGTCCAATCCAAGCTTCAGTAGCTGCCTTCAAAGAAAATCATATTTTAACTGCGGTAGATGGCTTGCCAAACTCTTTAGTGCACGATGTGTAGTAGGAAACTTTTCGTGCAGCTTTAATAGTTAAATCAAATTTGGTTGGGTCACATAAATATTTAAGACCATGAACATGCTTATCAAGGTCTTTAGCAACCAACACAAATCTGCCAAGTTCTCGCATCTTCTGAGCAATATATGCATGTTGGTATTTCTCACGCCCTTTTTTTGCATATAAAGAATTGCCGTAATTAATGATCATATCATCATTTCTGATGTGCAAGGTGACCTCATCCTGCCTCATATTGTGAATTAGGTTTTGTAATCCCTCCGTTGACTGGCAGATTGGAAGTAGGTGGGAGGAAGCCTTTTGGATTCTTTTTTTACCCTTTTTGTTCATGGCACCACTCGTGTGCTCTTCGCTGCAGTTCCTACAATTCTTCTCGTGTCGCCAGAGCTCTGTTCGCTTGAACATTGCGAAACAATGTTGGCAGGGCAGGTAATCTTTTACATTTCCCTCCGTTGAAGGCCGTTTCCACGTTACAATTTCACCCTGTCCTTCTTACAAAACCTTTTTGTTGTGTTCCCAGTCACCCTTATTCCGAAGGGATTCTAACAGCATCTTACGCTTTTTGGAGCCAGTTGTAAAGCTGAAAGCGTAAGCTACATCAGACTCGTCCTTATGTTTGCGCTCCAGATGTCGCGCACTTTTAGAATTTGCCTTTTTGCAATACAAACAATAGTGGACTTTATCCCATGTTCGTCCTCTATCGCTGCCTTGCGTTGCCTTAACTGTGATTTCATATGTTGGCCGTTTTCTGTCTTGTTTTTTTAATGTCTTTGGATGTTTGCCTTTACCTTTTTGGTTTGTCTGCTGGATGGTTGGTGTAGGGTCTGAGATGTCTTCACTGGATGAATCATTCGCTGGTGGTTGGTCCTCTGTGTCTGAATTTGAATCATTCGCTGGTGGTTGGT